TTTTCTAGTGATATTTATTTGAAGAAAATTTAAATAATTAATATCAAATATAATGTATTCTATTTACTTATATAATGGCATTTTTTTAAGATGTAGCTAATCACTACTTTTTTCGTATTTGTTCATATTCAAATAACCACAATAGGTTCACATTTTTATTAGATCATATTAAACATCATTAATTTACTGAATTGAGATATTATGAAGACACATAAATACGTATACATTTTCAAAGTAAAGATATTGAAATTTAGTGTAACCTGAAACTCTAATAATTAGTTAGCTCCATGAGATATWACTTATATCGTTATGCATGATGAATTATCAATATATTTAATTTTTTTTCTATTTAATATTAATTATTAATTAATTTGTTTATGTTAAAGTGCTTGGCCTTCTTGACGATTTTAATCAGTCATCCAATTATCGGAGCTCAAGTATACGAACAACCGGAATTCAAATCATCTCGTTCTGTTGAATCAAATAATGGTGTAAAAGTAAAAAGTACTGTCTTAATTAAACAATTTAGTATGGGAGGCGGCGGTCATATTTCTGGTTCTGCCAATGGCTTTGGTCATGGACAAGCTGGAGCTACAAGCATCGGTAGTGGTTCATCTCATGGATTTGTCCAAGGACAAGGTTTCAATAGTGCATCTAATAACGGTGCAGGTACCTTAGAAGCAAACAATAATGGAGGATTTTGGAATGGAGCAGCTGCAAGCGGTAGTGGATTCGGAAGTGGATCTAGTAACGGAAATGGATTTGGAGAGGGATTTGGTGAGGGAAGTGGAATAGGAATTACTGGTTCTGGTGGTGGTTTTGGGGAAGGTAGTGGATTTGAAGGCACTTCTTCTGGTAGTGGGGGACAAGGTTTTGGAAGTGGTTTTGGAGGAGAGAATAGTCAAGGGGTGGCTGGAAATTTTGTTAATGGTGGAGCATCAGGGGGTAATATCGCAAATGGATTAGGAGTTGGTGGTGAAACGACATATGGAAATGGCTTTGGTAGTGGTAATGAAGCAGCATTTGGAAATGGCTTCAGTTCAGGTAATACTGGTACCACTGGAGCTGTAGCCGGAAATGAATTTGGGTCTGTTAATGGAAATGGATTTGGCTCTGGTAACGTAAATGGATTTGGCTCTGGTAACGGAAATGGATTTGGGTCTAGTAACGGAAATGGATTTGGGTCTGGTAACGGAAATGGATTTGGGTCTGGTAACGAATATGAATTAGGATCTGGTAACGGAAATGGATTTGGTGGAGGAAGTGGAATAGGAACTACTAGTTCAGGTGGTGGGTTTGGGGGAGGTATTGGATTTGAAGGTTCTTCTGTTAATGGAGCACAAGGTTTTGGAGGAGGGAATGGTCAAGGAGCGACTGGAAATTTTGGTAATGGTGGAGTATCAGGGGGTAATATCGCAAATGGATTTGGAGTTGGTGGTGGAACGACGTCTGGAAATGGCTTTGGTAGTGGTAATGGAGCTATTAATGGAGCAAGTAATGGCGGAGGAGGATTTGAAGGTGAATTTGGAGGTGGACAAAGTAATGGATTTGGAAATGGTCAAGGAACAGGATTTGGAGAAGGTTTTGGGTCAGGAACAGGGGAAGGTTATGGAGAAGTTGAAGAATTTGGTTCAGGAGCTGCATTCAATGGTGGTTCAGGAAACTTACAAGCCCAAAACCAGGTATCTCAATTAGGAAGTAGTGCTGGTGGTCAGGGTGGTGGGTCATTAGGAGGTGGTGGGTCATTAGGAGGTGGTGTTGGATTTGGTTTTGGTGGATCTGGAAATGAGGATTTCGATATAAAAATATAAAAACACATTTTTTTTTGTAATCATATTTCAATTTTACAACATATTTATTTAATTTATCAATTCTCTATGTATTCAATGAACCATATTTAATAATTGTATTTATATATTTTAAGATAATTCTACTGTAATTGTTAACGATTAAGTTTGTAAGCTCGTATAAATTTCTACGAGTTAAATTTTATTACAAACATATATTTATAAAATAAACTCATAATAAAAAAATTTAAAAAACAAAATATTTATTGTATAATTTATCAAAAAAAAATATTATTCATCGAGTGTCCATGTAAAGTACCTAATTAACTTACACTTTTTGTGTACAGTTTAACTTTTATARCAATATATTGCGTTATGAAATAATAAATTAATAACAGCAACATACAATTTGAATAAGTGTATAACGTTCTGCAGTAAATTAGGTGTTTAGAGTGTCACTGTAATGGATGCTTTAAATGTGGATTCAATATGATATAAAATCATTRTTTACGGAAAACTATTATGAGCGAAAACAGTMTATCAGCTATAACTAAGTATATATTTTGTCATTTTGATGATATAATTGTTAATAAAGTAATTTATTTTACTATTAAACATCAGCACTAAAGTAGGTTAATATCATTTTTGCCAAAAAAATTACAATTAAAAATTTCACTGTGTGTATGAAATATAATGGTGTAAATGTGTAATCTAAAAGCCTTAAGTACCTACTCTCAATGCCACGAATATTATTCTTAAATTACAAAAAAAAAACTAAAATCAGTATTCCTGGTTTTAATATTTAATTTCATC